AGGTCGGTAATTAGTTCGACCGGGTTAGCCTAGGAAATAGCTTTAGTAGGGGGTATTTCCCTAGTAGTTCGGGGAGGGTTCGGTGTCTCCTTTATAGCGGGAGTAGAGCGAGTTCTTAGTACTATTCTCCTAGGTAATTAAAGAAGAAGAAATAGAATTGTTAAAAGATACTCTATAAGTTAGGGTAGGTACCTATTAATTAGGTAGGAGAAGGTAATAAGATAGGTAGTTCCCTAAAGTCAAAGACTATTTCTTAAAGAGCCGTTAGGCTTCCTCTATATAGTCCAATTTATATATAGTCTCCCTATATTAATAGCGGGAGGAAAATATGATACGTAGAGCGGGGTCTCGTTCCCGCGGGGAACCCTTCTCGGAAGGGTATAGAAATATGGGCGATCCCCCTCCTATAGGCCTAAGGCACCAATCTGGGAATGGCCTTACGTCTGATTATATCATAACATAGGCTATATCGGCTAGTAGCGTATTACTAAGCTAGTAGAGATAACGGAAGGTATTACTATTAAAAGCAACCCTAGTATAGAGTAGGTATATAAAGCTTATTAATTAGTAGATATACCGAGATAGATCTCTCGCCGGAAGATAGGCTAAGTATATAGTATATTTAGAAGGGTCTATTTCGACCTAGTATAGAATTAGCCGGCCTATAATAGATATATCTAGTTAACTTACTTCTATCTAGATAGTATTAAATACTACTTTATATTTACCTATACTAAGAAAAATAACTACTAGATAGCTATTAGGAAGTTCCTAGTACTAGTTAAGAACTAGTTAAAACTAGAAATTAGAGTAGTCTACTATAATAATAAGCGGAGCGCTAGTAATAAGGTTAAATTAATAATAGAGATAGAGAGATATACTATTAAGTATTTATTACCTAGCTTACTAGAAATAAATAGGCTAGCCGAGAGATCTAAGGGGATAGTAATACGAACTACTAGAGCGTTAATTAATAATATAGAGCTACCCTATACTCTATAGCTAGAAGTAATATATATAGCGATATATATCCTAAATAGGACCCCTACTAAGGTTATTAAACCTAGTAAAACTAGTAGCTAATAGATTATACCTTAGAAGGAATTGATAAAATATACTATACTAGATAGGATCTAATATTAGATAATCAACCTATTAAATATAGGGTTATATAGGTACTTAACGTACTCGAGAATTATTAAAAGGACCTAATTAGATAAGATATTACCTAAAGTAGAGATAGGATATCTCGTTAGGTATATCTCTAAGAACCTATACAAAGTATAGTTCCCTTATAAGGGACGTACTAGCGGTATAGGGAGGGTAGATATCGTTCGAGATACTATATTCGACGAGATAAGACGGTATTCGAAATCGAGACCCCTACCTAAGCAAGAGAATACAATTAATACTATAATAGATAGACTAGGTATATAGCTAGCTATACTTACTATAGAAGAAGTATAGGTTAAGCTTAGTATACAGATATAAATACCTAGATCGATAGTAAGGATAGCTCTAGATAATAAAACTAAGCTTACCGAGCTAGGCTAGATAGCTACCGATATAGCTATTAATATACCTAATAATATAGCTAATATAGATATCGATAAAACTAATAAAATATATAATAAAATAGCTAGCTAAGTAGCTAGAGAGATAGTTACTAAAGAGAGAACCCTAGTATATATAGATATTAAGCTAGCAACTAGCTTACCTACCCTATTGTCTATTACTAGACTAAGGGAGCAAATATTAATATAGATAGGACTAAGGGACTAGATAGGACTATAGGTCTAGATAGGACCGAGGGAGTATATAGATTATCTACCTAGTAGCTTTCCAACCTCCCTACCACTAAGATCATTATTAGTATCCTCCCTACTACCAGTATTATCTAGAATAGTATCAATATCTCTAAATCTATCGAATCTATCGAATCCATCGAATCTATCGGATCTAGTACCCCGAGAAACTATCCTATCGTCGCTAGATCCGATTTCCGTAATACCGTCGATCGAAACTAGGGGGGAGGAGATAGATAAAGAGACTAAGATAGAGCGTTAACTATAGTAAGAAATAGCGTACTCGCCGATACTAGAACTAGTACTAAAAGATATAGTAGGTAATATCGATATATCAAATATTATTACCGGCACTAGATCTAGGAAACTAAGGTTAGATCTAGATTATACTATATACCTATCTCTTAACGAATAGATAGAGCTACTAAGCTTACTATATATATTTACTATAGGTATAAATAAGCGGTTCGATACTAAGCTATATCGGGATAACCTACTACCGCCGCTAAAGACCTAGAATCAATTAAAGACCTATTAATTCGCCGAGTAGTTTAAAATAGCGGCTATATTCGAGGTTAAGATATTAAGGAAAAAGGAGACGTTCTCCTAGATTCTAATTCCGAATAAGCGAGGTATATAGGTACTACTACTAAAGTAGGTATTTATATATAAATTCGATACTAATAGTATACTAGAGAAGTTTAAAGTAAGAATCTATATTTATAGAGATCTTTAATAGTTATCTATAAAGGAAAAGAGAGCCGTAATACTAGCTATTAAGATAGCGAGGGCTATCTTTATATTAGTAGCTATATTTAATCTAGATATAATATAGAGAGATATAGTTACTATATTTCTAAACTTAGTACTATAAAATAAGGTATATATAAAGTACCCTCTAGGATTCGAAGTATTAAATTAATACTAGCTACTCTATAAAGCGCTATATAGATTACGTATATTACTAAGACTATAGTAGTAAGAAGTAACTAGGGTACTAGTAAAACTAGGCCTTATCCTAGTACCGAAAGATCTATATATCTTTATTACTACCGGTATTATTATCTTCTTTTATATCGACGATATTATTATAGTAAATTATCCCGACTATATAGAGTAAATAGCTTAGCTAGATCGAGAGATTAAGAAGTAATAGGAATTATATAAACTAGATATAAGCTAGTTCTTAAATATACGAATTCTTAGAGATAGGGAATAAAAGAAGCTTTAGTTATACTAGGATAGCTATATTAAAAGTATAGTAGCGAGGTATAATTTAATTACTATAAGGAAAGTAGGATCTCTACTAGCTATCGATCAATTAATTCTATACGATAGAGTAGCGTTACCGAGTTAGATTTATAGTTTCTAGGCTAAAGTAGGATCTACTTAATATACTACTACTATTACCTAGCTAGATACTATAAAAGCTATCGCTAAACTAGCTAAGTTCCTTACTAACCCCGGTCCTAAGTATATTAATACTATTAACCGAGTTATATAATACCTATACGAAACTAGGTACTAGGCTATTAAGTATAGTACTAGAGAAAGAGATAGAGATTATCTAGATCGATAAAACAAAAACCTTAATTTAAATCCTAAACTAAGTCTCTAGCTAGCTATAAAATTAATTAAATTTATAAGCGATATATCGTTTAGAGATAATAAAGATAGGAAAAGCTCCGAGGGTTATATTTATAAGCTATATAGGGGCCCTATAGATTAGAAAGCAACTAAGTAGAAAACGGTAACTATATCGACTATAGAGGTAGAGCTACTAGCTCTAGCCGAGGTAGGTAAAACTATATAGTAGTAGCGTCGAGTCCTCTCTATATTAGGCTTCTAACCTAACTACCTACTATCTATTATATATAACAACTAGCAAACCGTCGATTTATTAATAAAGGAAGGGGCGGCGATATATACGAAGCTCCGATATATTAATATTAATCGTTACTAGATAAGATAGGAGGTTAGCGAGGGTCGAGTCAATATTAACTAGGTTCTAACTACGGCTATACTAGTAGATAGCCTTACAAAAGCGCTTCCGAGATAGAAGTAGTATCTCTTTAGAGAGCTAATTAGGATAAGAGAGATCAGTCATCTAATCCGAGAAATAGAGACTACTTAAAGAGAGTGTAGAAATTAATAGAATTAAAGCCATTAGAAGGCTTAGAAATAAAGGAATTGACAGCTCTTAAAGCTAGGAAAATATAGGCTTTAAGAACTAGGGGGTATATCGAATACTAAGTCCGAATATATAGTAGAAACTAGGTAATATACCGGAAACATCATATAACATTAGGTACCAGGCATACCATACAAAAGTGCATATTACAGTTAGTCATCATTGTCCGTACAGATTGTTGAAATAGCGGGTTTTGTCATTTTAGTTAGTTAGAGTTGTCAACATTGGTCATTTATACCATACATTGTTCGTACACCAGCTTTCCGTCAGTATATTCCGTTTTAACCATAACCATGATATTACCTTAACGAGGATTTTCATTAGGGCATAGCGACTAGCAAAACATGCTTTAACGGTGTGTCTTCTTGGCTAGTTAGGAAAACCGTGGCCATAAGGATAACCGTGGTCAACTGATTAACTGCCGTTTGGTTGCGATACCTAAAAGATATCGTAACCAAACGGCATATAGTTGTTACCTTTTAAGATGCGCCTTTTGGGGGCGCTTAAAACCCCTATATGCCCTTTTTTTTTTTTTCTCTCCATTCGCTTTCTTTATATATCCAGCTATCTCGAATTTAGTAAACGTTCGTCTTCACTCTTTAGTTGACTGAACACGAGGTAATTCTTCTACTATCTAGACATCGCCCGTTACGAGAAGTTGACTATTGATTTTTTATTATCGCCGACTAGTATATGAATGATAGTATTGTTTAACCTAGACATTTTAGTCTCTCACGGCGCGCCCTAGACCCGATATTTCTGATGATAACCCTATTGATTGGGATGACTGGCTTACTTCAGAGGCACTCCAGAATGAAAAATATCTAGCTACCTCACAATACAGCTTTATTAACACAGAGGACTATACTAAGCGCCAGCATTTACTAAAACATATCACTTAGCTTCATTTACAACGGCTAGAAGTCTCACTACTATCAGATGGAACTTTATAGTTAACGTAGCCTATAGACAATAACAAAGAGATAATAATAACATATCTCCGAATGTCAACTCTAGGCGCATATACCTCTATAGAATATGAAAACATAGAAATCCAACCCCTCGTAAGCAACGAAAAAGGGCAACCTAAGTATCTAAAGCCTAGTGATGATTATTCTAGTACTTTCGGTATTAAGAATCACAACCACAGAAGAGTCCTTACTTCACCAGATTTCAAGTCTCTAGAAGTATAAGAGATCGAAAAAGGAACCTTTCACAATTATAAGCATATCGATAACCGGACCCAGGCAGCTGAGCACATTGACTACATTCAAATAATCTATTAGATTGTAACTAGCGAGACAATAAGCGAAAAACACGCCCGAGACATCGAAGACTACGGTGATAGTTTGATCATAATTATGCGATCCGGCTAGATTGCCGCGTTAAAGTCTCTTTTAGTCAACTATCACCTATATACCTTACCTAGTGTTAATATGTTTGACTTGAATTCGTCTCTAACGGTATACGTGGCATATCTAAGGTACCTAAACTCGGTCACTGGTTTAGTTTCGAAATCAGATGATATAAATCGCCGCCTTACGCAGATTTGGATCTATATTCATTTCGAAAATCATACTAATAATTTAAAGGAAAGTGAGAAAAACGGTTATCCGCTTAACCGAAAAGGTTAGGTAATCCCTACAATAGCTAGAGATTCTATCTTACAGCCTTTTTATAGGAGCCAATTCGTTCCGTAAAAAGCAGATCGCGACTTTTTAAGCGATCAATACCGCTAAGGCGAGCGTTAGTAGAAAGTTGCTACTTGCGTAGGGCTTGGTATGATCCTACTAGCCAGTGAAGACATAGCAAATCAAATATATACTCATTCATACTCTATAGAATAGCTATTTGCTAACTTATAAACAGAGGCAGAAGAACAGCTTTTCAGAATAAAATGATAGACACGTTAGCCATTTATATTCTCAATCGTTACCCAGCTCTAACCTATTTTTATCGATCGTTTGAGCCTATGGCAGTAGGCCTCATGCTTAGAGGTGATAATATCGTTTCCCGGGACAAACTAAACATTGTCCTAGAGGCGCTCGTGGAGGATGAAGCAAACCCATACACGCTAGAAAGATGGGTGGTTCCCAACCTCAAATCTCTTTCTAGACTTGCCGCTTCCCACCTAATCTTTCGCCAGAGATTCTAAGGCTATAGTCGGTTCCAGCTTCCAGCAGGTGTTGAGTCAAATATCTTATCTCCACGATGCCATCACCTTTCTCTGGCTCTTAGACCGTAGGGAACCATTCCCCAGAGGGTGGGCCTTTTCCGAGCTACGAGCTCTCAATCTAGATGTGTCCCCCCAACCACCCCCGGGATATCCGACGCCGGACGCAGTAGCCAGAATCTTCAGGCTCCGGCGTTCAGCGAATGGCTATCAGGGTATGCTCGAAATAGGCCATCCCATCTTAGCTGTAGGGGTGAACCAGATCGATGATTCCAGTATGCAGAGGAACGTATATTCCTTGGACAGGACGAAGGCTGTTGTACATTGACCCAATTCCGCAGGTCGATCTCAACCAAATACCTTACCACTGCTCCAAGACCCCGAGTGAGAAAAAGATAAGGTCTATGACAAGGATACCCCAAGTTGTATCCACTACATTGTAGAATAGCGGGTGGAACGCAAGATGCAGTGCTTTGAGTAAATCTTGGTCTCAGAAGTGCCACAAGCGAAAAATTTGACATGCCGCGAGTTTATTTTCGTAAAAGTCATTCTAACATGCTCGAAAGGAGAAGTCACGATCCCAATCCAAGGAATTCGCCGATATTGCGAGTGAAAGCGCACCATGTACACGAAGCAAACCAGAACTCTCGATATGCCCCGCCCTCAAGGCAGCTTGTAATGCACTCCCAAAACGCCCGTTTTGAATGTTGACCGAGGCACCAGAATCAAGCAATAGTTTCACTATCTTCCACTTTCCATTAGAAGAAGCTGTTTGCAGAGCTGTTCCAAAATTTCCACCTTCAGTGTCTACATCAGCACCGTATTGAAGCAATTTTTCACTTATCAAGAGATGTCCTCCGAAAGCGGCAGCCTCCAGCGCAAAACCATAGTGGCCACAATTGCAATTGACATTCGCGCCCTTTTCCAACAAAAGCGATACAATTGCTTCATGCCCCCACAATGAGGCTGCTTGCAAAGCTGTTCCATAGTTGCCACCTTGTCTGTTCTAGTCCAGAGGAATAATATTTAATCGCCATTCCAGAGGGCATACGTGAGGCTATATATACAGCATGGACTCCAAGTTTATTTCTAATCAACCTGCTTCTTCGTATAGTCACCTGGGGAATCAGTTCAGATGGTGCGGCTTTGTTCATGGTCTGCACTAGCCTCATATCACAACACGGTCTAATAATGTTGGTTGACTCCACAGTCCTGTTCTTTTCCCAGATGATCCCTTCCTCGGTATTCTAACTTAAATAGTCTCAAAATGGCAATCTTGGGCGATTCTGTGTCACATAATCGTCCTCTTCGATTTCATTGACGAAGCATTAGAAGAACTGCATCAAGTCAAAAGATTAGGCCCTTGCAAGGTCGTACAAACCAACCCTTGAATCCATATCAGAGCTTAGTTCTTGGCATCCCAATGTTTCAGTTATTGGATACAATTCCAGTAGTCTGCTCACCCTCCATACCTAAGGAGCTCTCGGGTAGCAACAGCTGGGACCCAACATCATCAGAGTACAAACCCCGAAGACTGTCAGTCGAGCCAAAGGGTCTTTCCTGTTCCGCCGCGCTTATGGTCACATCCTGGCTCTTGGTCATCGGAACATCCACATATTGGTCACAGGCTGGGCAAAGGGTGTAGTTGACGCGGCGGGCCCTGAGCATAGGCATAATGCATTTTTGGAATAAGCCTTGAGAAAAGGTGCGCAAATATAACAGACTAGGGGGATTAGTATATTTGAAAGACTAGGTGAAATTTGATTGCTGGACCGACTTACCCGAGGATGATACATGAGAGGTTGGAGTAAACCTGGGGAAGACCACGAGCAATCGTGTAGTCCCAGGGAGATTCCCATTCGCGAATCTGTTGAGTAGAAAGGAGGATCATTCCGGAGGTGTATACCCCAACCAGGAGCAATGCGACCAAGCCATCAATAGCGATTTCAAGGAGCGAACAAGATTGACTTCCAGAATTGCGATACCCGAAGAGCATGAATAGAGGTATAGTGCTAGAAACAGTGATCTTCGAATTGTTAGATGGTCTTCTATCATAGTAGGAGAGGAAGACTCACTACAATAAGCTGGATCCATGCTTGAGGGCCATCACGACTCGTAAAGACGGCGGCGAGAGCGCACGGCCACGAAACCACCGAGACAAGGACCTGTGTCTTGCGAGCTCTAGAGAGCGGGTGTTTGTTGGCGGAACATTTTCTTTGGCACATTTTCACTTTGACGTTTCTTTTCTGGGCTTTACAGTGTAAGAATCAAATATAAGGGTTGTGGAGATTCAGAAGCCAATGTCTTTGTTTATTAAGCAAGTGGTTTGACGGCCCGGCGATGCCAAGCCCGAAATTGGGGGAATCAACACTGCTGCCTTAAATAATTAGTCTGCCTGGAGGGATTTAGTCTGCTAACGTATTTCACAAGCGAGTGGCCCACACAAGCGAGTGGCCCACCCCATCCAAAACGCGTCATTTAATTCAACCCCTACTTCTTCAACTACCCACTATGCCACTAATTCGCTCTCAAAGCTCTAGAAATTCAATAGAGCAAGAGGGTAGGATCTTACTAGCTATCTAGGCTTTTAAGAATCAAGAAATTTCTTCAATTCGTGAAGTAGCGCGTCGTTTTAATATACCACGTATAACCCTTTGCTACCGAATTGATAGAATATAACACCGCGCGATTTCGCGCGCTAATTTATACAAACTGATAGAAATTAAAGAGGAATCTCTTAAGAAATAGATTCTCTCTATAGATTCTCGTAGAGGGCCCCCCTAGCCTACTATAGTACGAGAAATAGCGAATCTTCTACTTAAAAAGCGTAGGACTACCCTAGCTCTTTCGGTCGGCTAAAATTAGGTTATAAACTTTATTAAAAGACGTCCTCTCCTCTCCTCCCGATTCTCGAAACGGTATAACTATAAGCGTACGAAATATAAAGACCCTAAAATCATTAGGGAGTAGTTTAATCTAGTTTAAAAGACAATCCTTTAATTTAGAATCGACCCCGACGATATCTATAACTTTAACGAGACCGGTTTCGCTATAGGATTGACTATAATTATAAAGGTTATTACGAGGAGTAAATACTACGGCCGGAGGCCGGTTTTATAACCTAGAAATCGAGAGTAGGTAACTAGTATTAAGTATACGAATACTTCTAGCTAGGCCCTTCCTCTGTATATGATTTTTAAAGGTAAAGTCTTTATTAAATTATAGTTCGAAGGCCTCCCGAAGGATTAGCGTTTTAAAGTTAGTCCTAATAGCTAGACTTCTAATGAAATTAGCCTTCGCTAGCTTAAAAAGCTCTTTATTCCTAGTACTTCTTTACGTACGAAGGGAGGGTGTTATGATATAATCAGACGTGAGGCCATTCCCAGATTGGTGCCTCAGGCCTATAGGAGGTTTGACCTCTCCGGAGGGGGATCGCCCGTGTTTCCCTATCCTTCCGAGAAGGGTTCCCCGCGGGAACGAGACCCCGCTGTACGTATCATATTTCCTCCCGCTATCAATATAGGGAGACTATATATAAATTGGACTATATAGAGGAAGCCTAACGGCTCTTTAAGAAATAGTCTTTGACTTTTAGGAACTACCTATCTTATTACCTTCTCCTACCTAATTGATAGGCACCTACCCTAACTTATAGAGTATCTTTTAATAATTCTATTTCTTCTTCTTTAATCACCTAGGAGAATAGTACTAAGAACTCGCTCTACTCCCGCTATAGAGGAGATACCGAACCCTCCCCCAACTACTAGGGAAATACCCCCTACTAAAGCTATTTCCCAGGCTAACCCGGTCGAACTAATCACCGACCTTAATACGAATCTTATAGCGACTTGAGCTACTATAGAGAAGCTATAGAGACTTAAGGACCTCTATGATTAGGTTAAGACTCTTAGATCTTAGCTAGACTTCGGCAGAACCCATTTTGGGTCGGAGTCTCCGACCCAAAACCCGACCCATTGGGTTATAGGTTCCGCCCTCTATAACCTAACCCAACCTAAAACCCAATGGGTTAAACCCAATAACCTAATAATAACCCATTTGAACCTATTTTTATATAAAATATAGGTCTTAGCGTTTATAACGATGCTAAGTTATTCAAATAAATAACTGTTTTTTACAACTATTCTAGTTTATTTATCGAATATTGCTATATTATTATAATATTAAGTTAGAAAATTTATATAATTACTCTAAATTTAAAGCTAATAGGCTTTATATTATATTAATTACCGATAAAAATTGATATTAATTATAGTATAGTAGTATTCTATTAATTTAAGTATTTATTAACTATAGATTATTAAAAATATATATTTATAGTAGAGGTAAGTATATATATATTATAGGATAAATATAAATAGAAATATCTTATTATTATTTTATTTTATATATAATTAATATTATATTAAAGCTATATTTCTCTTTTCTTATATTTAACTTCTTATACGTACTCTAAATTATATTTTCTAATCGCGGTCGGAAAATTACTTCTAGGAGGGTAGGTATATATATTATTATTTCTAACCACAGTTAGAAAAGCTCTTCTTAGGGGGGTTATATTTACTATAACTTATAACCGCGGTTAGAAAAGCTCTTCTAGGAGGGTAAATAAAATATTTTTAAAGAATCTTTTAGGGAGTAGGTTATAAATAGGTCCTCTTAGATTTTAATAGGTTATAAATAGATTCTTTTAGGTTTCGATAGGTTATAAATAGGTTCTTATAGGTTTCGATAGGTTATAAATAGGTTCTCTTAGGTTTCGATAGGTCCTATTAGATCCTATTAGGTTCTCTTAGGTTAGACCTATTTAAATTAAGCTTATATAGCTAATTATATAATATTATAGCTTATACCTTTTAATCTATCTACTTTACTATAGGACTAAGGTATTTACTATTTATATACCCTTCTCTTATAAGTATATACTCTCTCTATCTCTCCCCCTTACCTTTATAGTATTCCCCTTTTCGGTCGTAATATCCTAAAGCTAGTATTCTAACTTTTTACCTATTCTTTACAATATAGATATAGATAATCTTAGCTATCTTATACCCTCTTCTCGAGTTCTAACCCTATCTAGTAGCTAACTTATAATTAAGCCTTTTAATACTATTAATACTAGCTTCTTTCGGCCCTCCCTTCTACCGATTCTATACTCTCTTACTCACGTTAGCCCCGATCGGAGAAAGGTATATATACTTTATAATAATATAGTATATAAAGAATAGGTTAAGTAGTAGCTATAAACCGACTATAGGTAGAAAAGTAAGATTTCCTAGGATTTAAATCGCAATTCAAATATATAGAGTAACTTCGACTAAGTTACCTATACTAAAGATAGAGCGCTAAAGGTAATATATAAGCGTGTTACGCACTAGCTAACTAGTCATAGTTAGGTTAGATAGGTTCAGGGTATACTTGCCTTAATACTCCTCGAATAGTCCAACGTCAATAATCGGATCGCAACTGAGCTATTGCCGCGTAGGGCCTTACTATAGCCTAAGTCCTTTTGAGCGATTAAGGAACTAATACTAGGTAGAGCGCCGAGTAGATCTATACCGGGGTATTAGTCTACTCGTAAGTATTGTTAAGTTATAATTAAGTAAAGAGTTATAGTAATCTAAAAGGTAAATATAAGTAATAATATATAATTAAAGACGAAGAACTAAACTAGATATATAAATAAGTATCCTTATATATCTCTAAGTTCTTCCTATATAGAATAGTAGATAGTAGAATAGTAGAATCGCCTTAGCGGATTCTACTAATCTACTTACTACCCTTCTACTAGCTATATAATCACGTAATACTAAGTAGTAGTTATCTAGTATATAGAGTAACCTATATATCGGAAATCCTCTATAGGGTAGATCCGCTTAGGGCGGATTATACTCTTATTTAGTAAGTTTATATATAATCTACTAATAGGTATCCTAGTTAGCTCTCGATAGCCTATTAGTATACCTAGTAGGTTACTACTAATTAGTAACGGATAGGTCTATAATATTACCTCCCCTCTTCTTAGGAGTTTCGTCCCCGAGACTTATAAAGCTATAATATCCCCCCTTAGGTAGGTAATAGATTTCTTTTCTTTAAAATAATACTTTCTTATTATACCTAAACGAAAGGCTAACTCTATTTCCTTACTTACTCCTAAACTTCCCTCCGATTCTTCTAATACTTATTATCGTTAGGCGACTTATATTAAAGATAATAGTTTTACTACCTTTATTTCTTATAATTATTATAAATCGGTAAGTATTACTTATCTAATAGATCGTTCTTATTAATATTTAAAATATACCTTATATACTCGTATAGGTCGCTTATATAAACGTAACTTTTATACTAGTCGGGAATAGGATTTATTATATCGTACCGAAACTAAACTTTCTTCGGATCTTAAAACAAATAAAAGTAAACTCGATTTATTAGAACCTAAGTTAAATAAACTATAAGCTTATCTTATAAAGCTATATTAAAAATTGTTAAATAAATAAAAATAATACTAGGAAGTAATATCTAGGTAACATCGGTTATATAAATAAATATCCTTCCTAAAATAAAAGGGTTTTAAAATATTAGAATATAATACTAAACTCCTTTAAATTCTCGATAAAAAGTAAATATCCCTAGAGTAGGCTTCCCCTTCTACTCTCGACCTTAAATAGCTTACTATTACTACCGATTATCCGAACTTTAATTAGATATTAGTAGAGATTACTAATCTCCCTATTTCTTTCTAAGATAAATCTAGTTTCGTACCCTCCTCGCTTTCTATTATATAGGGGTCCTTTTCGCCTATTAGTAATACTATTAGATAAGCTAGTAGTAGCCCCTTAGGTTCTAGATAGGTTCCTATATATTTTCTAAGATAGGATACCCTTTCTACTAAACTAAGAGTTATTACTAACTATTATACTATCTATCCGATAGGATTTATTCGACTTTATATTTATCTTCAGTTTCCTCGATTTCTATATTAGTTATAATTTCGGCGTTATCTAGTACTAGTTTAAGTAATAAGATATAAAATACTATATAGAGTTTTTATATACTTTCGGGTAGCTTTAAGCGATAATTTACTAGTCCTAATTTTTCCTTAATTTTAAACGGTCCTAGTCGTAGGTAGTCTAATTTATTACTAGGTCGTTTAGTTTTA